CGAGTCGGTTCCGACCCATAGCGACCCTGTACAGGGTTTCCGAGGGTGTAAATCTTTACAGGAGTAGAAAGCCTCATCTTTCTCCTGCGGAGCGGCTGGTAGTTTCGAACCGCTGACCTTAAGGTTCGCAGCCCGATTCGTAACCACTACGCTACCAGAGCTCCTTTTTTGCTACAATAGCTGTGACAAAAACCCTAAGGTTGCAAGCTTAAAATATTTACTGCCTGACCCTTTTCAGAAAAAATTTTTTCAACTCTTGCCCTAGTACCATTTTAGAAAAATTTTCCATCTATAAAATTAATTTTATTTTTCTATGTACAATTTTATTGTCCCCTCCCTTCCCTTTTAAAAAAAGTAGATCTAGTCAGTATACCTGGGAGCTCGGTGACTCCGTGCAATAAGCGCTGGATTGTGAACCACGTGGAAAGATGAGGCTTTCTGCTGGCGGGCAGAGGGGGAGGGGCTTGAAACCCTAATCAGGATCACTGTGAGTTGGAAGCGACTCCGTGGCACTTAACAACAATTTATATACCATAATGCTCGCTCACCTCTTTAATATGTACAGTTCATTGGTCTTTAGTGTTTTTACACAGGGATGCAAAAACGCTCACCATTCTTTTTCCAACACGTTTTCATCACCCCAAAAAAGAGACCGTGCAAAGCCCTCTTTTGCATTCTTTTGTCAAAGGCATTTTGCTTTTGATTTCATTTAGAAACATAAGCCATATATAGAGGGAATTTCCTTGGACAGTTTCTGAGATGTTTTGAGAGGGCTTCAAAAAGTTCCTGGAAAAATGAAATGAAAAATGGAATTTTTCCACAAACTTTTAAAGCCTCATTGTATAATCCTCTCAAAGAGATGCCAATTTTTGAAATTTTTTTTTTATTATGTTATATTTGTTTGGTACTAATTCAGCTATTTTCTCTCCAGTTCTAAATAAAGAGTTCCTGGTGTGATGTTTTAGGGTAAGTACTGCACTGCAAACCACAAGGTAAGCAGTTCAAACCCAGCAGCAACTCCTTGGAAACCCTATAAAATGTTGCTATGAGTCATAACTGATCCAATGGCACACTCAATAACAGCAAAAACAATTCAGCTATTTTCTTTCCTATTTTAAATAAAATCTAATTTCATAAAGAGTGCAAAGTATTAAACCCTCATTCACTTATGAAAACTAAGAAGTTATGCTGACCAAGAAAATAGATTTATTTTACTGGTTATATTTTAGAAGAAAAATGAAGAACTTCATTTAAAATAAAATCTTTATTTTATATATTTTTAGGACTTTTTCAGGTCTTAGGATCTGTGCAACAATTACTCAACTCTGCCATTGTAGCTCAAAAGCCTCCATAGAATATGTACAAATGACTGTGTTCCAATAAAACTTGACAAAAGTTTGCAACTGGCTAGATTTGGCCCATGAGCCAGTTATTTGAGGATCATGATTTAAAATACTACTTGGATTGATTTTTTTTTTTTTTAAGTTTTTATTGTGAATTGAGTGATGCTTTACATGGGGGAACATCAGTTTTGCTTTCATCGTTTCATTGCAATGATTGCAATCTGTGCATCATCATTCAACAGTATTTGCTTCTATTCCTTCAGTGTTTGGTTTTTTTTGGGGGGGGTGGCGTTGTGGGCTGTAGACAAAAACACTCAGGAATATATAATCTTTTAAACAACCAAAGGACACATTCTGCAAGTCGGTCCCCTGGCCACCAACACGTGGCTGTCAGCACACAGCCTTTCTTAATTTGGATAGATTCTTATAGTCTTTATGGTTCAGAGGGTAATGTTACCACTTTATACTTACATTTTCACCTACATTGTCTCAATTGCTTCTCATAGTTGTGAGGTTTGCTGTTGTTAAGTGCTGTCAAGCCGGTTCGGACTCAGAGTAACACTGGATAGGGTTTCCAAGGAGCTACTGATGAGCTTGAAGTGTCAACCTTTTGGTTCAAACCAACTTGCTGTCCAGAGCATCAACTCACAACACCACACCAGGATTCCAGTTGTGTGGTGGAGGTGTGGGCATATAAATGTTGACTCAGTGTCTGTTTCCATTATAACAAAATAAGAAAGATATAAGATACATTGGCTGAAATCTCATTTGCGCCCTAATTTTGATATGTGTGATGAGAAACAGACCTGTTGCTTGCATTATTTCTCAAAGATCTTACTGATAGGAGGTTGATTATTAGTTTGTGCATTCTTTCTTTTATTCTTCCTTTCCCTTCGTTTATCGTATAAAAAAGGAAGATGCTATTATTCAGTACATGAAGGTTAAATTTTCTTTTTTTTTTTGATTCATAAAATCCTTAAGGGATTTTTTAGAAAATTTTTCTGTAATTATCTTTTTTCTTTTTTTTATTGTGAATTGAGTGATAGTTTACATGGGAGAACATTGGTTTTATACCATCGTTTCATTGCAATGATTACAATATCCTCGGTGCATCATCATTCAACAGTATTTGCTCCCATTCCCTCTGTTTTGTTTTAGGGGGATGTGGGGAGATGTATATAAAAACACTCAGGAATATATAACAATGAAAAAAACAAAGGGCACATTCTGCAAGCCTGCCTCCTAGCCGCCAGCACTCAGTCCCTTTCTTTCCGTGAGTCTAGCACCCTCAGCTGCTCCGTCTCTCCAAGTCCTCATCTCTGCCTCCATCTCTGGTGTTGCTGCCTCTCTGGATAGGGTCCCACATTCTGCTCGTGCTCTTCTCCCTTGATGATCCTAGGCTCCTCTGTTTCTGGACTGTAAGATTAAACTACCCCCCAGTTTTTGTTACAAAATTTCTACCTTTACAGTTGTGACAGTCACAATTAGTCATGATAACAATTACTAATTATTGAAACATAAGAATCTTATCCTCATCTCTTTTTACCAGACCCGTCTACACAAGATGAAAATTATTCAGTGGGGACTCTACTTCCCCCCACACACTCTTAAACTAAATTCCCTCTTGAAACCTTGTAAGCCAGTCACTTCATGCCTTTATCGCCCCCTCATTTTAGGTAGCCAATGTTTTAATTTGCCTGTCCGTATCTACCCTGTATACAGAGGGGAACTTGATTTTTCTTGTAGTAGTCAATCATACTGCCATTTTTGTTTTGGGTTTTTCCTGCAGATCTTTCTTTGAAGACTTATCTTCTGTCACTCTAGCTGTACCAGCCTGGTGTGCTTGTCCTTTCTATGGGACTGTCCCACCTCAGAAGCTTCTGGATGGGGCTAAGGATTCTACCTCTGGTCCTATAAAAGCCTATTTCACTGGGCAAATTGTAGAACCCCTTTTAGGTATTCCAGTTATAGCCTGAAGACGGGCTTACAAGCTTTCTGTAATTATGTTTCTCACATTCCTTTCTATCCCACTCAAGTGTCTGTTTTACAATAGTAGGCAAGGGAAACCAGTATTCCTAAGACAGTCAAGCATCTTAGTATTGTTTCCCCTCTTGAGACTATGCTTTGATCCCTGTATCACAGAGCCCTGTTGTTCTGACGGTGAATGTTTTGAATTTATTGTTGTTTAAGTGCCATGAAGTTGGTTCCTACTCATAGTGCCCTGTATAGGGTTTTCACGGAGTGGCTGGTGAGTTTGAACTGCTGACCTTGTGGTTCAAACTGACCTGTGGTCTAATGCTTATCCTACAGTGACACAATAGGACTCCATGAATTTATAGACTCTTTCAATTTATTTATATATTATGTATTTATTTATTTATAAATGCTATTTTTGCTTCCTTTTTTTAGAGGCTAGAGATGCTATGAGATTGTCATTTCATCCTTTGTGAGAATTCGGCCCAGAGATGGAAAACTTCATTCTCTATGAGGAGATTGGCAGAGGAAGCAAGACAGTTGTCTATAAAGGACGGCGGAAGGGAACAATCAATTTTGTAGCTATTCTTTGTACTGATAAGTGCAAAAGACCTGAAATAACCAACTGGGTGAGTCAAATGTTTTCCTTCCAGCTGGGGAATTTAGTCACTATAGGAGACACCACATTTTCAACATGCAATGTGTGACTTTTTCTCTGTTCATGCCACCAATCCTGAAAAATGACTACTACACATACCTAAGTAATTAGGGTTTTTGTTGTTATTTTTAAGAGTCAGGGGAAATATATATGATTATACTAGAGAATTTGCTTTTTAAAATTTAGAGTATGGATTATGAGGATTCTGAAAGAAGGACATTGGGTGAGAATGACTAGGGTTTGAAGTAGCTGTCCCACTTTTCGGTATAGGGCTCTGGGACCACACAACCTAATAGGGTTGTAAAAACTGAAAAATGTAAAATATGTAAAGCACACTCTTTCATGATGGTTCTTATATCATAGCTGTTTTTGGAATAAGAAATGTACAAAGAATATACAGAGTGAGATGGAGCTACACAGCATGGGAAGAGGGATGTGGGGACGTACAAGGTGGGGAAGAAGGTCACAGGAGTGTTAATTGATTTGGAAAGGTCACAGTCTTGTGTCTGATTTGTTGCTGACTCCTAAGCCCAGTAAAGCCTCTGCTTTCTTTAATCCCTGGTGGCAATGTAGGATAACCACTAGACTGCTAACCACAAGGTGGGCAGTTCAAACCCACCACCTGCTATGTGAGAAAGATGAGGCTTTAAGCTTCTGCAAAGATCTAAAGCCCTTGTTTCAAAGGTGATTTTTTTTGAATTTATTGTTGTTTAAGTGTCGTTGAGGTGGTTCCTACTCATAGCGACTCCAGAAACCCTATGCAGGACCGCTATGAGTCAAATTCAACTCAATGGTAGTGGGTTTGGTTTTTTTTTATTTCACAACAAAGGTGTATTGAGTATCTTCTGTGTCAGAGGCAGATCCTGTCCTTGTGAGTTGATGGTTCAGTAAGAGAGGCAAGATGGGGAAATCAAGGTATGTTTACACTTTCCATTTTAAGGCTTGTTTGACTTCCTTTCTAGGTGATTTAGCTCTTGGGAACTCCCACATCTCAGGCTTTGCGGAAACATTTCTTTCTTCACAGTTCATCTTTTGTTGATTTGTTGTTAAGGTTAGCCAAGTTGATTCTGACTCATAGTGACCCAGTGCACAATAGAATGAAATCAGTGCCTGATCCTGTGCCATCCTCACAATTGTTATGTTTGACCACATTGTTTCTGCCACTGTGTCAGTCCCTCTTGTTGGGGTCTTCCTAATTTTCTTTGACCCTTCACTTAACCAAGCATAGTGCCCTTCAGGGGCTGATCTCTCCTGACAACATGTCTATTGTACAAGAGACAAAGTCTTACCATCCTTGCTTCTAAGGTGCATTCTGCTGCTGGTTTCTTCTGTTTGTTTTCTTGTACTGAGTTAATCTTGTGGGTGTGTGTGTTTTGTTTGAGAATTTCTTCATTGTTTTAATGTTTACAAAATCTTGGATTTTTGTTTTCTTGATTTGACCTGAAGTTGTGTTACATTTCTTTGAGGTTACCCTGTAATTTGTTAATTTCTTCCCCAATTTAAAACAGTCTGTTTAACCTTGAAATCTACTTGACTTCCTTGATATTTGGTGTTCTGTAACTATACTTTTCCCTCTTTTTGCTTTGTAGTTGTCTTTACTATAGATTGATATCTCTGATTCCCTATCTTCAATTTTATAGTTTTGTTTTACTCTGGATGCTTCTGTTGTTGTTGTTGAATGTCATCAACTTAGTTCTGGCTCATATCGACCCTGTATAGGGTTTCTAAGGAGCAGCTGGTGAGTTTAAACTACTGACCTTGTGGTTCAAACTGACCTTGTAAACCTATATCTGGATTGAATTCTGGGTGGTGTTGCCATGTATGACAGTCTCCAGTTGTTGTCTGATGCTGTTGGTTTTCAGCCCTAAAGATTCCCTTTCGTATTTTTTGTAAAGTTGGTTTGGTTTTTACAAATTCCTTTAAATTCTGTTTTTGTGAAAATGTTCTACTTTCACCATTGTATTTGAGGGATACGTTTGCTGGGTATATGATTCTTGGTTGGCAGGGAGACAATTTTGTATGTCTCCCTGTTGCCTTCCTGCCCTCATAGTTTCTGCTGAGAAATCAGAATTTAATCTATTGGTTTTTCTTTTGTAGGTAACATTTCGTTTTTCCTGAGCTGCTTTCCAGATTCTTTTCTTGTCTTTGATTTCAGTGAGTTTAATTATGATATGTCTTGGTGATTTTTTTGGGGGAGGTCTATCCTGTTTGGGGTTTGGTCAGCTTCTTAAATGCTTATTTTCTCTTTAATGATGTTCGGGAAATTTTCTTCCTGCATCTCCTCAACTATCTTGTCTGTGATTTTCTTTGTCTCGTCCTATTCTTGAATTCCTGTCACCCATAGGTTATTCCTCTTCTTGTCTCATATGAATGTTAGAATTTCTGCAGATTTTTTTCATTGTTTTTTCTGATTATTTTTCTAGTTTACTAGTATGGAGAGATTTATTTTCAAACTTGCTAACTTTGGCTTCCATTGATTCTTATCTACTCCCTTGCCTTATCAGTATATTAACTACAGTGCTTTATCTATGTTGTTTAATTTTTCCTGTAGTGTCTTTCTGATTTCTTTCTTGTTTTGCTCAACCTTTCTGTCAATCATTTTGTTGTTGTTAGGTACAATCAAGTTGGTACCGACCCGTAGCGACCTTATGCACAGCAGAAAGAAACACTGCCCGATCCTGTGCCAACCCCACTATTGTTGCCACATTTGAGTCCATCGATGCTGCCACTTGGCCAACCCATCTCATTGGGGTCTTCCTCTTTTTCTCTGATCCTCCACCTTACCATACATGATGTCCTTCTCCAATGACTGCTCCCTCCTGACAATATGTCCAAAGTATGAGAGACAAAATTTGGCCATCTTGGCCTCCAAGGAGTACTCTGGCTGCACTTCTTCCAAAATGGATCTATTGGTTCTTTTGGCAGCCCATGACACTTTGAATATTCTCCTCCAGCACCATAACTCAAAGGCATCAATTCTTATATGTTCTTCCTTATTCACTGTCCAGCTTTCGTATGCGTATGA